ATACAAATTAAGTCTTTATATAGTTGATATGTAATTATTTATATAAATTAATCAATAAAGATATGAGCAAGGCCTCATCTTAATACCAAAAAAAAAAAAAAAAAAGAAGGGGAAAAAAAAAAATATTTAGGCCGCAAGCAAAAGTGACTCAAATTGGGCATGTGTTAGGTGCCTAACCAAGCTGAGAGTAGTATGGATGCTTCGGTGTAGCTGTTTTACACTATCACATTCAAATAGATGGTATAGCCTTGTGGTAGCTACTTGGTAATACCTACTAATTAGCTGGCGTAGATTGTAAGATAGGGCTTCTTTTATAGAGACCAAGATGGATCCTAGGTAAAAAGCATATGCTAGGCTCCCAATTTAATCTTTAGCACCTAAGGCCTAAGTCATATAGTGGTATGAACTGTAGCTTGAATATAGCTAGGTTGCTCAGAAGAAAAAGACATGATATAGGCGTAATATCGAGGAGAAGGACCACAGATAAATCATATAAGATACGTTGGGTGAAGTTGAGATTTTCCATTTTACTTTTTTTTTTTTATCAGCGAATAATACCTTATCTCTAAGAAATTTTTGGCCTTATTTATAATTTTTTTTGTTTGTAATAGAGCTTTAATAATGTCTTATTTACAAATACTTCTAATAATTTTCTGCCTAGTTCCTATAGTATATATGTGCTATTTGGAAGTTTGTTATAAATATAATATAGTCCTTTCCATTTGGGTTCTAGCTTATAGCCGTGTGTTCCCAATTTCCTGGCATCCAGTTTTAGAACTTTCCCACTGATCACAAAATCTATAGTGGCTTTGAGCTGTCGATTATGATGCTCTTTTTGCTTTTGTTGTACGTTACTAATTTGGCTTAGTGCTATGTCATGGGCTTCAGATAAATCATGTTTAATTTCATACAACCATTAGATGATCGTATCATGTAACAAATCCTTGGATGTATTAGGATGCAAAGGGCAACTGGGCTTTTCGCCCATAGATCAGGTAAAATGGTGTTTCTTGGGTCGTGGCTTGTTTTGCAGTATAGTAGGAGAAAAGGATAGATAGTATTAAGAGATCCCAATCAGTAATATTTGTTACTAATCTTGCTATTGACTTACACAAAGTCTTGTTAAAGTGTTCAACGAGGCTATTTGTTTGTGGGTGATATGGCGTAGAGAGGTGATACTTGGTACTTAAAGCTGCTAAAAGCTCATTTACTACATGAATGTTGAAGTGCGATTCTTGATCTGACAATATTATGCTTGGATATCTGTGCCTGCATACGATATCTTCATAGATAAACTTTGCTACTTCCTTCACATTTGCTTTCGAAATTGCATAGGCTTCTGGCCATTTAGACATATAGTCGGTTGCTACTACAATATATTTGTTTAATCGTGGTGTAGTAGACAATAGCCCGACTATATCTATCCCTACTCTGTAGAATGGAGCTTGAACAGAAATTGGATGTAGTATTTCTTTTGATATTTTATCCCCATACTTTTGACAACCTTCACAGGTCTTGACATACTCAAGTATGTCATTATACATTTGTGGCCAATAATAATATTTGCAGATCTTATTAAACATTATATCCTTGCCAAAATGAGCGCCTAAGGGATGATTGTGGGCTAAGGTCAATATGGTCTCTAATTCTCCTTCTTGTAACACTTTTATCAGTTTTTTTGGAATCTTCCTATTTTTTTTGTAGACTATTCCGTTTTTGACTAGGAAAAAGCGACTTTGCTTTACTAATTGCTTTTGTTGTACTTCGTTATAGTGCTGCGGATATTGCTAGTGTTGAAGGTAAGTCTTCAATGCTATATATTGCTGTGAGTCCATTTTAAAATTTTAATCTTGGTTGTATTACTTTTGTTCTTTTCTAAACTTTGCCAGGATACCAATGCCCTGGACCAGATTAAGCTTAATGTTGGGTTTTGTGTTTTTGGATTATCAGGAATTCCCTTTTGATCTTATAGATATTTTTGGTAGACTGAACTTCCCATGATTAAAAGTTCAATTATTGAATTCAGAATTTTCTTAGTGGCAGTTATGGTTTCATTTTATTGTTTGTCTCTTTTCAGTTTTTGCTTTGAATAGTTTCTTTTTGGTTCAAGCTGCTTTGAGTATTTTCTTGAAAAGCCTAGGGGGTTTAGATTTTTTTTCTAGTGGTTTTTCTTACTACACTAAGTGGTGTAATTCCTGACTCCCTTGTTTTTTTAATTTTTCAGGGCAATTTGTGCTACACTTTCGTTGTTCAATTATCAATGCCCTAATCTCTCATTTTTCTCATATTTCTCGATTTTAGCTTGGAGTAATTTCGTCAATGTTCGGTCTTTTTCGACTCCAATTCTATTTTGATAGCAATATCCACATTTTTGCTAATTTGCCAATATGTTAGGATTTTTTTTTTTTTGCTCCGGAGTTTCTTTGGTTGTAAGGTTTGTTCGATCTAAGCGGCTTTGAAATTGTATTTCATTGTTCGAGTAGTAGTCTATTCTCGTAGTAATGGACTTCGATGTTCTCAGAAAGTGGGTAGTAAGTATTTTTAGATAGTTTTACCAGTGTAATAGAAATTTCTTTCATATGAGTCTAACTTCTCTATATAAATTTTCTTCTCGTAGAATAATAGCTTTTCTTCGAATAGGGCTTCACAACTCACCCTAATCTATCCTAACCAACCTCACTCTAGTGTCAGGTCTGTATAGAAAAAATAATAATAATAATAATAACTATAACTATAAAAATAGGAGAATAACTAAATATAAATAGCAATATGTTTTTTTTTTTTGACATTTTTAATATTTTTTTTTTTGATATTTATAATATTTTTTTTTTGACATTTTTAACATTTTTAACATTTTTTTTTTTTTTAAAAAACATAAAGGGTCTATTTTTCTATACAATGTTCTCTTCAGAAATAATTTGTATCTTTTTTAGGTTGTAGTGCTACTAGCTTTTAATTCTTTGTAGGATGAATATTCATAAGGAATCATAGTATTCCCAATCGATATATTCATCCCTCGATTGAGACCATTCTTCCAAATCAAGGTCCATGTTTGGAAATCCTGGGAATGAATTGTTGTTATTTTCTTGCCAGCTTTGATCCAAGTTGGGGTTAGTTGTATAATTTTCTTCAAATTTGAGACCATGAGTTGACTCTCCCTATCTGGGTATATCAATTAGATAGAATTCGTCAATATCCATTGGTTTTGGCTCTGATCCATAGTCACTATCATATTTTACTTCTATATAGTGCGCTGTTTGGTTATCCCAAGTAATTTTCTAACCAAGATCTTGGATGAGTTGTTGTAATAAAGTTTCATGTAACCTTGCTTGCTAAAAGTAGGTGGTGAGGACCTCTTTTTCTTCTTCATCTATACGTTCCATTTATTGTTACTGGCCCAAAGTATTTCTTCTACTTCTTTATCAGAATCTTTGTAGAAATATTCTTGGGCTATGGCCCTAAAAACTGGTGTGTTTGTGTTTGATTTTCCCTAGCATTCTTCATATCAGCTGCTTTTGGATTATAGCTAATAGTCTCAATTGCATTATTCTTGGTTCGAGGTAACTTATCCACCATCCTTGATAATGCATCTGCATTGTTGTGGACCCTCTCCACTCAGTGAATGATATAAAAGTAGTAAGGTTGAAGACGTAAGCTCTATTGGGCTTTTCGACCCTTAAGAGCAGAGGTTTGCAGCCATTTCAGAGCTGAGTAGTCCATTACAATATAAAAAGACTTGTACTCTAAATAATAATGAAAGTACTCTATAGCCCAAACTACAGCGTAGCATTTTAGCTATGTAGCTAAGTAGTTTTATTCAGATCATGTAAGGCTCTTACTGGCATATACAATAGCATATTCTTTCCATTTTTGTCTTTTTGTGTGAGTACTACTTCTAGGCCCACTTCAGACGCATCTGTGTATGGGTAAAATAGTTTCTCGAAATCCAGATATCTTAAGACCAGAGCAGTAGTAAAGTGAATCTTCAAAACTTGAAATGCTTCCTCTTGTGCCTAGCCCCATTTATATGCCATACCTTTTTCTAATAATTTATGTAGTGGTTTTGCTGTTGTAGTGAAGCCTTTTATAAATCGACAGTAGTAAAAGACAAGACCAATAAAGCCTTTTAGCTGCCGGAGATTGATAGGTGTAGAAAAGTTCTTTACTTTGGCTACTTTTGCTTTATCAGGATTAATGCCTTCTTTATTTACAGTATGGCCCAAAAAATTAATAATATTTTTTAACAACTCATACTTGTTAGAGTTAAGTTTTAACCCGGCTATAGCTAACTTTGTGAAAATATTCTTAAAGTGGGTTAAATATTCTTGGAATGTTTTTGAGTATATTATAATATCGTCTAAATATACTGCAATATTTTTCTGATGTTTTTATAGAGAATGTGACTCATTGCTCTTTGGAAGGTCACTAGGGCATTGCATAAACCAAAAGGCATTACTCTAAACACATAAGTGCCTTGTTTTGTAATAAAGACTGTTTTTTTTGGTCTTCTTTCCTCATACTAATTTGCCAGTATCCGCTAGCTAGATCTAGAGAGGAAAACTACTCTGCTTTTCTGAACGTCTTTAGTAAGTCATCAATCCGTGGTATTGAGAAAGCGTCTTTCTTTGTAACAGCATTTAACTTTTTATAATCAACCAACACATAGCCTTAGCTTGCTGTTTTTCTTCAGTACAATTATCACAAGTGAGGTCCAAAGGCTTTTGACTTCATATATTAGCCCATTATCCAATAATTTCTTGATTTCTTTATTTAGGAAGTCTTGTTCGTCTGAGGCGATCCTATAGGCTGATTGCTTGATTGGCCGAGCTTTACCGGTATCGATTTCATGTTTTACTTCATGGTACTGGCCCAATTGGTGTAAGCCAGAGGCAAAAAGGTCTTGAAACATTTCTAATATATGAATTGTTTCCTTCTTTTGTTCTTTAGTTAGATTTCTTGCTTGTACCAATTGTTTAATGATTTCTTTAGGGTTTTGTTCATTTGTTTCTCCTTTTCTGAGGTTGGAAGCTCCTCTATTGCCATTAGGTCTATTGCAGAGCAATTTTTTTCTCTACCATTGATGCTTATTTCTTCCTCTATTATGGAATTGTTCATATAATAACTTTCTATTTCTTCAAGGTCGGGTTATTATTCGTAGTAGTTAAAAAGTTATCATCATTGTCTTCTGGGTCTTGGGATAATTCTATTTTATCCTCTTTAGCTTAGTATATTGGAACCTTGATACTTTTACCTAAGTATCTCAAGAATAACTTTTGCTCATCAAAGTGGAGACAAGCTCAGACTTTTTGAAACCAGTCCATCCCGAGAAGCATTATCTCTTTATGGTTCTCAATCACTTGAAAATCAGTGGGTATTAATGCATTTTGTATTGCTAGTCTTATTCCTACTAACTTTTCTAGAGCTCTTTCTCTAGTTCTATTGGCAGTGATAACGACAGTATTGGAAGGCTCAGCTATGGTAAGTTTTAATTTTTTGCCAGTTTGATAAACATTATGCTGACCGTGGCTCCCGAGTCTAGTATAGCTAGTATTAGGTTGTTTTGAATCTTAATATAGCACTTAGCTGCCATTGTTCTCCTGTTAGATTGATTGTCCATGAAGTTAGTAGCTTCAACTACTGAGACTATAGGGCGTCGTAGGGCTTGGAACAAGTTCTGTCTTTGTTTGGAGACTTGTAATAACTGACTATACATGGCATTGGCCCACTGATTTAATAGGTCATCAGCAATATTATAAGATAGTAGTTGATCAATGACTGATGGCACTCTTCTTCATCTAATTCTATTGTTGGCTTCTGCTTGGGGTTGAGTTGGTGTTTGGATATCTTCTTCCATGAGCATAGGCTAGATTTGTTGTGTGTAATAGTTTTGGTCAGTTACAACCCTTTTTCAGAGCCTATCATCCCAGTTTACTTTCGTATTAGGCCTTCGCTTCATAGTATAAGCTTCTTCTGAATTATTGGTATAAATCTCACAGAGATTAATGGTTCTAGTTTGTGTTTGAGGCTATTGAAAGCTTACATAGGTTGCCGTGGGGTTTGGCGTGGTTCAAAAAGACAATTCCTAGCTATGTGACACTTTCTCCACAATTATAGCACTCAATTCCACTATTTCTTGGTTGCCTAGGTGAGTAAGGTCTGCTTACAGGTGGACAAGGGCCTGATTCAGTTCAAGCAGCAAGTGCAGTTATTAATTTTTTATAATTTGTCACTATTTGCTACATTTTCTAAGTTAAATCTTCTATAATTTGATTGTCATGTTTTTTAGTTTTTTCGTAATAACCTCCAATTTCTATTCTTCAGGCTTTGATAATTGTTTTTTCAAGGTTTCGGGGTCATCTGTTGACATTAATGCAGCGATTTTTCTATGTAGACCTCCCAGAAACATTCTTATGACATATGTGATGGGAATTTCTTTATTAGAGTCTACTCACTTAAGTAGTCTTTTAAATTAGTAAGCGTAGTGGTCCACTTTTTCTGTTTCTTTTTCTTCAACAAATGTAGCTCTAGCTGCCACTGATATTTTCGCTCTGGAGTGGTGAAGTACTTAGTGAATGCTGGTACGAAACTGAATTCTTTATTCTCTTCATTATCATCATCCCAAAGAATGAGGTCATTTTTATTATCATGATACCAACTTTCTGCAATTCCGGATAAATAGCCTGAAGCAATTTTTATTTTTCTTAATGGGGTCCAATTATTCGCATCAGCTGCTTTTTCGAATGCTTCGATCCATTCTACAGAGTCTTCTTCTTCTTCACCCTTGAAGGTCTTTACGTAGACCCAGTTATTTTTACATGGATTCAGCTAGACATCATACATTGCATTATCCCAGAAGGCTTTAGCAATTTCTTTTAGTAGTCTTGCTCGTCATCATCGTTGCTATGCCTATCATCATCGATGATTCGATAGTCTTCGATATCTCCATTCTCAAAATGATCCAAATCTGACATACTATAAATATTTGATCACTTGTTTAAATATTAATATGATTAAGAGTGCGACAATAAATTCCCCAAAATAAAAATTTGTGTAGGATGTAGTTAAAGATATTCAGATTTCACAGTCACCACCAATTGCAAGATTGTGGATTTATGTTGAATGCTAAAACTAACTAAAACTAGCTCTACAATATCTAATCTACAATTCAAAGACTCTTAAGAGTTCGATTTGGTAGGCGGAAAGAGGTGTGAAAAGACTTGGTCCGAGTCTCAAAGCTTTGCTGGTCTTGCTGCGGCATATTTGGTGGTGAAGATAAGTATACTTCGGAATTATATTCTCAATGTCGATTAAGATACTTAAGCCAGAAGATAATAATTGTTCTTTTCTTTAATTCAGAGTTTTGGTTTTCCAAGCTTCGATATGATCGTTAAGATTCTTAACGATCGTCACGTGTATCACATGTGATGTTACTGGGATTATGGCTGCGGAGATCGGTAAATTAATCCAATCTGTGATTCTTACATCACGGGTATCGTAGATCTGAGGCTTAATTTACTGGTCCGGTATTTACGTCACGGGGTTATTATGTCACAAAGATCAATTTAATTAATTGATCGATTGTTATACTAATTTGTGCTAACAATGCATCTCAGGTAATATAAGTGTATGCTTAAGGGTTTCAATTACTTCGATTCTCTCTTTATTATTTGTTTTTAAGAGTTTGGAAACTTAGGGACGAGGTTTTTAGAATTAAAGAACTTAGAACTAACGCTTCTACTTGGATTTCGAAGGTTAGACTCTACTATACTACAAAGTAATGGTTTAATTTACAATACCGGGACAGTGACAAGGTTATTTTGATGATTTATTAGGGTCAAAGGGAAAAGATAAGTAACTTATACTATTATAGCTTCGAAGTTATTGAGTTTTGAGTTATAAAACTCTATAGAGTTGTTTTTTATTGAAAGAAATAGCGCTCCTTATATAATTGTTTTTACATATAGAAGAATTCTTTGAATGCTACATTATTTTTGCTATCTAATAGATAACGAGAATAAAAACTTATTTTCGTTATCTAGCGGAATTTCTAATATCTATTGGATAACCAGAATTCTCAACGATTTGTGCCACCTGTACCAATAATTCGGGACTATTACCGACCATAACCCTAAATTAGAACTAGTAGGGTTCATTTACCCTCTCACAATGTACATTACATGTTGAAAAAAATGGTGTCAATAGGGTGATGCCAAAAACTAAATAATCTGCTAAGCCCTATACTAAAAACTATCCAATATACACTTAAAGCTTTAAAATCTTGAAATAGGATGCTTCGAAAGGAGGCGTGAAGAGACTTGATCCAAGTATCAAGGCTTTCAGGTATTTACCCTAGGTGCCACACAAAAAATGCGCGGCAGATCCT